CTATGTTGGCCTAAAATAGGGTTAGGAAGGTCGCTTCATGTACCATGCACCACACCCCCATCTAAATTTGTTAGGAAGTACCCCTCCCGCTGGGATGCACTCGTAAAAAAAATTGTTCGCATCAGTAAGTGTTCATTATACCATTTCAGTCTTAGATGAATTAATGTATGAATCAATACAGCTGGTCGTATTTTTAACATTCTGTGTTATCCACAGGTGTTTGCCATCGCAGCTCATCTGGTGTACTGGGGAATGGCGACGATCATTTACCCTCTCTGCGAGAGTAACGTGTATGTCGTCGCACCAGACTCCTCCACTAGCATGTATGTTGACAATATATGGCTCTTTATACTTATTCTATTCGCTAGTTCGGTCGCTCGAACGTGTTTGCCTGCATTTGTTAGTGCTTGTGTTCGTTCATTGGTTCGTTCTTTCGTTCGTTCGTTATGTTACGTTACGTTCGGTCGGTCGGTCGGTCGTTCGATCAGTTGGTCGTTCGTTCGTGTGGCCAATCGGTCGTTCGTTCGTTCGTTCATTCTGTCGATCGATCGATCGTTCGTTCGTTCTTTCGTTCGGTCGGCCATTCGATCTGTCGATAGTTTGTTCGCTCGGTCGTTCGTTCGGTCTATTGATTAATTGTTGATTCGTTTCGTCGTTAGTTCAGTCTCTCGTTTGTTCGTTCGTTTGGTCTGCCGAGTACTCGAAACACCAGCCAAATACAATGAGCCAGTATCTATCTTTTCTGCTCTCTAGATTGTCTCCTCTGGTGAAAGAGTTCACCGCACGCTTTCCTGGCATGTCTTTGTTCAACGTCTTATCAGAGTTCTCATTACCAACTCCTCTCAGTGAACATAACAATCCGCTGGGTTTACCACAGCAACAGGTACATTCCCCTCTCATTCTTGTTGAATTCTATTAAAACTGTTCTCACAGATAGTCTTATTTATTTCATGGTAATAAAGAAAATGTTGCAATCTGTTTTGAAACCAGAGAGCGCTCATTTCTTTTCAGAGGCCTCTGGAAAGTATCTAAGTGGCGTCGTTCTCGTCCTATACACCCNCCCCCACTTCCTTGTCCCTTTTCTCCCCCACCTTATACACGTTATGGATGTATTAGGCTCGATATACCAGGACATATACCAGCCGCTGTTCGGGAAAGGAGCCCGCGCTTGACCGGACTCAAAATCGAGCCTAGTTCTATCTTCAAGCTTTGATTTCGGAACTCCCTATAAT